CTAATTCCGATCTTTGTGCAAGGCGTTTACCATTAGCTATCTCCGGCAATATTTTTGTTTTTTCACTGTTTATTTATGAAAAAGACGATCTTGCAATTGAAAATGTAGAATTGAAATATTTCAGCAGACCCCACAACATATCCCTTAAACAAAGTAAAATTAAAAAAACAAATGATAACAGAATGTACATTTATTTCATTACAGTGAGATGCATTTTCCTCTGTCTTATTGTTTTCAGAAAAAAATATAATTGATGCACACTGCTGCAGAAAACACGTCTCACCAGTGAGGATGGAGATTAGCTGACGTTTTAAAAGCTCTGTATCTTATCTCCGGCAGGTATACCGGCTAAAAATCTTTGACACGGAAAAAGTTTGAAAACAAGATAATGATGTAATTCTTTGGCACCGAAATTAAAACAGTAGAAATAGATACCTTTTTTTTCACATACCAGATACCAGGATGTGTCTCAAATTTATTTGATCTCCATTTTTTTCTTTTTCTTTTCCTGCTTTCTCTTTATCATGGCTTAAACCTAAACATTTCATTCCGATATCTCTCCTTACATTTTATTCTTTCTTTTCTATCTCTGTTTTCTTTCTAGCTTTTTGCTCTCTTTTACCTTTTCTGTCTCTCTCTCTCTCTTTTTCCTTCCTTTGTAAAATTATATTTTCCTCATTCTTTTCTTCATCTTTTCATTACAATACTATTATCAAATTCTTCACTTTAGGGGCTATTTGTCATGAATACCGTAAATGATGACATCTAATTTGTTAATGACTGATATTGCGATAAAGGCAAGCGATATGATTTTCGATATGGCTTATTTAGTACATTATTATGCAGGTAAATCAATATGCATGAAACAGTAAATACNGAAAATTGTAACCGTCAAAATGAGAGACCCAGTTATGAGAACAAGTTCCAACAAAGCTACTGAAATTAGATTTAGCGATGCACTATAGTAACACTTCAAGCACAATCTTCACAAACCACTTATTTGTGCCTATGTTTTGGGCACACTGGCTGGTTGCATGAAGCAGATGCATGTGACATTTTTCTGTCAGTGTTGTGTGGGCAAAACATTTAAATAAAATTTGAAAACTAATATTTAGAAACCAATGCTTCTCTTTGGGGTCATAAATGACCCCACGAGAGTTTGTGATGTATACGCCACACTAATTGGTTGATCTCTACAAAAAACTGTGAAAGTGTGTAGGATTAGTAGACTGACAAACTCATGCAGGGAAAGAAAATTCGAGTAAAGAATAAAGAGATGGCACATTAAATCATATGGCTGGGGTCGTAAATGACCCCACTCGGTCACTTGAGGGTTAAACCTTAACTGTAAGTCAAGTGAAACAACTAAATTATTTATTTGTATATTTAATTTAATACATATTTTGAATTTAAATTTAAATTTTAATTTAAAAATGTGAAATGTCTAAAATTAGCTTTAAGCCATATAGGCTAGTACAATGAACGGTACCCAAAAGTCTTTGCTCTTTCACTAAGATCTTGATAATTATTTTTGGCGAGATTTTTCCCTTTAAAAATTGGTATAATGAGTGTCCACAATAATATAACTTGAAAGTAAAACGTCACCATCAACTAAAGACGCTTTTAAATGCACTCTTTGTGACAAATGCTCCCACCCCCCACCCCCTTATCTCTCTCTCGCTCTCTCTCTCTCTCTGTCCAGCAGTTGCACACGGTTAGGTATAATGTTTCATCATTTTATACAGTCATATGGCAACTGACTGCGCGTAGGAAGATATTCAGAACGGAGCGCATGCGCTAAGATGACGTCGCGGTCGAAAATGTGTAACCTGCGCGGAAATTAAAGAATTGTACTTTATTACCTCTGTACCCAGCGGGCAAATTATGTTGTTTTAACGTTGAAACAACGTTGAACCATAACGTTGATAATACGTTGGATAAACATTGGATTTGAAAGTTGACTCAACGTCAGATAACAACATTGCATCAACCCCAGTTGTTAGACAACATTCCTGCATGAAAAGACAATAAAATGACCTGAATTTTTTTTTATTTTTGGTACAAAACGCAGGTACACAATTATAACGTACACTGTAAAACATCCAAGTGCCTGCTTTGTCTGATTTTTTTCAACGCACTTAGCTCCTAATAAGCATGTTTTGCACCTAAGCATGGTACACCCTTTTAGCCTGGGTGTGTTTAGCAGTAGGACATGTTTGATAGCTAAATATATGTAGGGTATATATGAACATGGAAAAGGTCAAGGACGTTTCAGATCGCTGAGGGTGCGCGCGCGCCATCTGGTGTTAAATCCGCGACTGATTGTTGAATTGCGGTAACTGATTGTTGAGTTGCGGTAACTTACTTTTGAATCGTTTATTGATTGTTAGATTTTGACGAATGATTAAAATGACCAAAACTAATTTAGAAGAATTAAGTTTAGATAGTTAAAGTAGGTTTTGGCTGTTAAATAGTGCCAATAGATTGTTGAATTGACGTCTGCATTTTTTGCGTGAATGGCGTTCCATAAAAACGACTTCAGAATTTAGCACTGCACGCGTCTTTGACATATTTCCACTTGGTGCCAGGGAGTTCAATATGTAGCAGACAATTGGCATAAATTGGACTTTTAATGGGAAAGGATCACTTAAAGGGATAATAACTCTTCGTTTCGGCCAAAAAATTAATTTTCCTGGAGTAAACAACAATTTTCCCATACTTACCAATGGTTAATAAGCCCATTTTTACATTCAATGTTAGTCCCTGGTTTTTTTCTAAAAAGTTTGGTTTTTTGTTAAAATCTCTTAATAGATTTTAACAGAGTATAGCAATCAATGGAGGTCACGTGGTTTAAAGACAAGCTCAGATATCAGAAATAATATATAACTGCCGTTTTTGTGGTAAAACAGAATATATTATATTTCTGTGAGTTATTCACAATGTTTTTATTGTGAAATATATATCTCATACGAAGAGTTATTATCCCTTTAAAGTTTCATGAAAAATAAACTATGTAAATCTTGATAACTTTTGCAAATACTCAATAAATAGATTTCAAATCGTATTTGAAATTATTTCTACAAAAATCTCAATACCTGTTATAGAGCTGCCTCCCTTAATCCTTTCTTTTACAAAAATGGACTGAGCCGCACAAATTTGGAATGCGGCATTGGTATCTTTGATACAATTGGATACTTTTTAAAGATTTGCACCTGGTTTAACAAAGTGCGTTTTCCATGGGGAACTTTGTTTACAAATTTTTCTTAGTTTACCAATGAATGAACTTTACACGTTCTGACAATGACATTTTATTTGTGTCAGCGCACAGATATATCTCAAACATATTTCCGTTAGTAAAAGTGTGTCGGACAGTAGATTTCACGTACTTATATTACTTTTTGAACAATTCCATATTTTTAACTTGTATATTTTTTCAAATTCAATATTCAATTTCAGTTAAATAAAAATCAGAAATACATAAATCTAAAGTCCTTTTAATATATCGCTTTCAGGCTTCTATTTGTATGTGTATCAAAAAAGTATCACTAATTTGTGATTCGATCATTGTTGAGAAGCTTGCGGTACAGATAAAATAAGAAAACTGCTTCCTCTCATCCAACTTGCCATAAACAGATAAAGTATACCAGAAAACGTATTGGCACATACAGGCAGAAAAGCTCCTCATCTGTGAATTCTGAAATAATGAGAATAAAGAAGCTGACAATAAATGTAATGAAATTAATAACGATGAAGACAAGAGCTAACTGAGCACTTTTAGAATTAGCTGAGGTAGCCTACTTGTAGTGGTAACTTACATCATACCGGTATAAACCTATGGCATTTAATGATAGTTGAATTAAGCATCATGAATTGCGTTTTACTTTAGTAGGCCTGTTTTACAAACGTTATCATGAATCAATATTACCTTTGTTAAATGTTCGTCATCCTTTTCTGTTCTGGAGTTAAGCTACAACCCGCAGCAGATCCACATTTATCCACCTCTCCCACTTCTTTCCACGTGTTCACTCTAATTTGTTTACTAGTAGGCCTACGCGAACCCTTTAACACATATGTAGGTCAACATATAATCTACTGCATAAATGACATTAGATTACGTAAATCCAAGCCCTTTTCCTAATATTAATAAAATAATAAAATCTCACAGAAGTGGACCAATTTTCAAAATGCATATCTAAATGCACACGTTTGCCTTTTGCATGTTACACATCAAGGATAGGTGAAGGTCGTTCATAAAAATATTCACTGAAACTAGTTCAAACTGGTTGTGTGCGATTCAGCATCGATTTTAAAATCGAAAACTTTGGGTGATATTTTAACTCATATCTGAAAATGAGGAAAATTAAGGCTGGCAATATAGTCCCACCCCCTACGAGAGTTATTTTGCGATCAATATTTTTCAAAAAATCAAAATCGTGAACATATTTCAACTAAATTTGTTCATGTTTCAGTAATCCTTTAAAATCGGGAGTAATAACATGAACTGTTCTTATCATCTTTACAAAACCACAACTTAAAACGCCCTTGTTTGTTTTTAAAATGATTATATTTGCAAGGTACGGTTTTTCACGTCAGCCAACGCAGATGTCCCGAAGCGGCGCTACTTCGTGACGCGGACTCACTGAAAAGTTTCAAATAACCGACATGACGTTACGTTTTTCAGCCAGTTGCCATCTGACTGTATAGTCAAGACGTGTAGAAGAAGCTTTGGCAACGCCAGTATTGACGCTCACCTAGAAAGCATCAATGTCATTTTTTATCACCATCTCACCGCAAACAAGCACTTAGACATGAAATATGACCAGGAATTACTCTCAACGAGAGTTAGGATCGGTCTAAGACCTCGATGATGCAAACAATTAATCTTGAAGTTTTATTTTGCCCTTATTTTATTTTCATGTTTTGTTTTCAGAGTGAACTCAAATTTAAAATAAAACATACAAAGTTAAAAGCCTCAGGTCATGCAGCACACTGGTGCTCAAGGCTATAAAAATGGAAGTTTTCGTCAGCTGGCACAAACCGACCAGAGGTTAGAGCAGGAGAAGTATCTTTACTGTCCTTCTGATCGTAACCAAGATGTTAAAGAACCTGTTTATCCTGGGCTTGATGATCACTCCAATCTTCGCCCAAGGTTGCGCCGGGGGTGGCGGTGCCGGTCAAGGCGGTGGCACCAACGGCTTTGGCTCCGGTTTTGGAGGAGGATTTGGTTTCCTCTCCGGACCTGGTGGTTCCGCCGGCGGCGGCGGGGCCGGAGGTGGTAGTGGCGGTGGCACCAACGGTGGATCTGGCTCCGGCTCTGGTGGGGGCTTTGGCTTTGGCTGTGTCGGTGGCAAGCGCTAATGTCGCAATCAATGTTGAAAGGTAACTCTCGTTTTCACATATTTTAAATGTTTTTTCTCTTTTTTGTCTTTGTGTTTCTAATGTGTTTTGAAACTTACTTTCTTTTTCCAATTAAGTATTTAATATCCTTCGTTACCGTATTTCTGTACCATCAGATAACAAAATTAAAAAAAGACATTTAGAAACGACATGTTTCTTTTCTTTTCATTAAGTACGGCCCAAAAATGTTTTTCGTAATTATGTGGAATATAGCTCTACGTCCATAAATTTAGAATTAAAGCATTTCATTAGATTCACCCCCATATTTCCAAAACAGTGCAAAATGCAAAAAAAAAACAAATGGTGAATATTTCGATGCAGTGAATTGAAAATGTTTTTTTTCTGTATAGTTTTCAGAGGAAAAGCACAACTGTCACTTAATGTTGCCGAAAACACGTCTTCACAGCAAGGATGGAAGAGTACAGACATATTAAGCTCTGCATCGCCATTACCTGATCGTAGCAGATCAACGCCTATAAAGATTTTGTGGCTTGGACTCTAAAAAAGATCTTGTTTGAAAAGGAAGATTTATGGGATGCGCCTTCTATTGTAATCAGTTTAACCAAAATTAAATCAGCTGTCACCAAGTATTATGCTTTGTTAAATAAATATTTTACCGCATATCAAATATGTCTTTAATATTCACTTTTTTTATCGAAAATTTGTCTTATCAAGTGAAAAATATTGTTTTATTTTTCTTTCTGGTTTTTATTTAATTATTTATTTTTTTGGAGATTTCTTAACCTGATTACCATTAGCTTATGCGTCAACAGTGTGTGAAAAATAAATAAGTGCCATTGTGTTTCACAATATTTATTACTAGACAGTAAACAGTGCATTAAAAATTATACAGGCTGAGCGATAATTCAGCCAACCGACAGTCATCGGCATACATACAGTACCTAACACAGTTCGTCGTGCGCGGTGTCCATTCACTCAAAAATTCTAAGAAGAAAATAAAGAAAAATTTATTTCTCATCCAACCACGGTCAATGACGCCTGTTCCAACCAGACGACTGTTTAACGTCGCAAATTTAATCTTATTCGTTAGGATCTACATTGTATAGGAACAAATTTCTTTATAACTCCCCAGTGGGAGGGTAATCTAAATAAAATAATAGGGGAAAGTAAAAGAGGCGAACGGTTTTCAATATACCTGTAAATATTACAAAATTCAACTAAGACACAAGTTAAAATATAAACATTTGTTCAGTACAGTAACTACATGTAAAAATAAAGAGAGTAAATTTGCAAAGAAATAGAATAAAGATGAATAAGAAAAAACAGAAATTTAAGTATATATAGTAGTAAAGACCATGGCCTTGATTTAAAAAAATATAAAAGCATTTTGTCTTTTTTCTCACGTAAAGGAATACATGCACGTGTCCTCAATAATTTATATTCTTACTTCAACGCTAAATCACTGATTACATCAATAGTCAGCCATTAATAAATGTAAGGTAGCGGTTTATATGTCCCAACTGCCTATATTTCAAATGCACCTCTGTTGCACAATGTTGCTTTGTTCTGTGATACAAACTAGGTGGTTGCTTAATCATTTAAATTCAAACACACAGTAGAATTATTATTAGCATCTCTTTTAACAGTAGGCAGACATACAGGTGACTTAGACGTAATATATAACCGACAACCATACGTACGTGACTTGAAATTTCATTTATATATATATATATACAGCATTGGTCAAAAAGGTTGTCCCACCCCCATTTCCATGTACTTTTATTTACAAATGATCGCCTCACAGCTGTGAACTGTTAAAAATAGTGCTTTTTATTACGGATATCGTGTCTAACATGATTAATAGTTTAAAAAATACAAAATAGTGGTGAAAATATACACATTTTATACCATTTAGTAAAATTTATAAGAGGTACCCCCTCAAATCGACTATTTCACTGTGACTTCTACAGATATAAAGAAATGTCTATAAAATTGAAAAGACGTCGTCAAATGTCACCAAATTCACACAAAATTAGCATTAGGGTGTGCTCGTTAAAGATCACGTGCCTAACAGCGTGTGCGTCTACCGCGTACTGCAATTATCTCCTGTAGACGGCGCGACAAGCCTTCAACACGGGTTACAATTCTGTTTTGATAATCCTAAATAAGGAAATACTGAAATACGCGTCTCAATAACCTTCTATGAAAATCAATCACTACACGGTACTAAGCAGATATGGGGATGCATGCATGAATTTTTCTCCTTGGGGTCATCACCAAATCGCCTGTTTAGGTGCCACGTGTAACACTTGTATATGACCTTAAAGTAGGTACTCCCAGTTACCAGTTTGCTTTTTTCTCCAATTATCTTTCCCATATATGACGGAAATAAGTGATAATGTTCTCTCACGCACTATGTTCTTACAACTGATATATTTGATGACATTGGTAATGTTGACATCGCACGCGGTCTTTGACGACAAAATACAAACCTTTCGCCGGAAGTATTAAAGCATCGGTGGAGCGTGAATTCCCAGTAACATATATAAAACACTTCTACAAGTTGCTTATACAACTCAAATTAATTAGATATGCCAAGGGATAAACTGAATAAATCACTCGACCATGGCCATAAAAGAGCTTTAGACTGCTCCTTTCTTTAAATTAGGCTATTGGTCTGAAATTTTACCTACTTTCGTGATTTACTTTTCTACCCCATTGATATACAGCATAGTCGGTAGAAGATGACTTTTAATACGCAAAATAAACCTACCAAGTTTCATCAACATTTATTCTGGCAATTATTTCAGTAGCAAAACTATATTTCCAATAATCAAAAACCAGTCTGTTAAAATCATTTTTACCTTCTCGGATGTCTTAATTCAAAGACGTCATTTTTTATCATTATCGCACCTGCAGTTCTGCGCTGGCGATGAGAGTTCTTCGCGAAATTTGTCGTCATACAGCAGTCTCCACAATTTTGAATGAAAAATCGACTTAGCATCAGAGTATCTTATCTGTTAACCATTATGTACTGCGTCTCAATCTCTCTTGTTTATTTCCATTATCAAATTTCAGCAAACAAAACGCATGGAACGCCATTCACGCAAAAAATGCAGACGTCAATTCAACAATCTATGGGCACTATTTAACAGCCAAAACCTACTTTAACTTTCTAAGCTTAATTGTTCTAAATCAGTTTTGGTCATTTTAATCATTCATCAAAATCTAACAATCAATAAACGATTCAAAAGTCAGTTACCGCAACTCAATAATCAGTTACTGCAATTCAACAATCAGTCGCGGACTTAGCACCATGCAGATGGCACTCGCGCACCTTCAGCGATCTGAAACGTCCTTGACCTTTTCCATGTTTTCAATTCCGCATATTATGCAGCACACGAACTATATGTGGTGCCTCGATATGAAATCAGACAACTTTTGTGTTTTTAATCTACAAATACTAAAAAAAATCAATTAAGTTAATAAAGGCGTTCCATAAAAACGACTTAAGAATTTAGCACTGCACGCGTCTTTGACATATTTCCACTTGGTGCAGGGGAGTTCAATTTGTAGCAGACACTTGGCATAAATTGGACTTTTAATGGAAAAGGATCACTTAAAATTTCATGAAAAGTAAACTATGTAAATCTTGATAAATTTTGCAAATACTCAATATATAGATTTCAAATCGTATTTGAAATTATTTTTACAAAAATCTCAAAACCTGTTATAGAGCTGTCCCCCTTAATCCTTACAAAAATGGACTGAGCCGCACAAATTTGGAATGCGGCATTGGTATCTTTGATACAATTGGATACTTTTTAAAGATTTGCACCTGGGATTTTCCATGGGAAACTTGGTTTACAAATTTTTTTCAGTTTACCAATGAATGAACTTTGCACGTTATGACAATGACATTTTATTTGTATCAGGCCACATATCTATATATCTCAAACATATTACCGTTAGTAAAAGTGTGTCGTGACAGTAGATTTCACTTATATTACTTTTTGAACAATTCCATATTTTTAACTTGTATATTTTCTCAAATTCAATATTCAATTTCAGTTAAATAAAAATCAGAAAATTATAAATCTAAAGTCCTTTTAATATATCGCTTTCAGGCTTCTATTTGTATGAGTATCCAAAAAGTATCACTAATTTGTGATTCGATCATTGTTGAGAAGCTTGCGGTACAGATAAAATAAGAAAACTGTTTCCCCTCATCCGACTTGCCATAAAACAGATAAAGTATACCAGAAAACATATTGGCACATACAGGCAGAAAAGCTCCTCATCTGTGAATTCTGTAATAATGAGAAAAAGAAGCAGACAATAACTGTAATGAAATTAATAACGATGAAGACAAGAGCTAACTGAGCACTTTTAGAATTATCTGAGGTACTTGTAGTGGTAAATTACATAATACCGGATTACCGGTATAAACCCATGGCATTTAATGATATTTGAACTAAGCATCATGAATTGCGTTTTACTTTAGAAGGCCTGTTTTACAAACGTTATTATGAATCAATATTACCTTTGTTAAATGTTCGTCATCCTTTTCTGTTCTGGAGTTAAGCTATAACCCGCAGCAGATCCACATTAATCCACCTCTCCCACTTCTTTCCACGTGTTCACTCTAATTTGTTTACTAGTAGGCCTACGCTAACCCTTTAATACATATGTAGGTCAACATATAATCTACTGCATAAATGATAATAGATTACGTAAACCCAAGCCCTTTTCCTAGGGTAAGACTTTTAAATAAACTATAACTTCTCATTAATTAAATCTCACAGAAGTGGACCAATTTTCAAAATGCATATCTAAAAGCACACGTTTCCCTTATGCATGTCACACATCAAGGATAGGTGAAGGTCGTTCATAAAAATATGCATTGAAACTAGTTCAAACTGGTTGTGTGCGATTCAGCATCGATATCAAAATCGAAAACTTTGGGTGATATTTTAACTCATATCCGAAAATGAGATAAATTCAGGCTGGCAACTTTTTTTTCTTGCAATATAGTCCCACCCACTACGAGAGTCATTTTGCGATGTTTTTTTTTTTTTTCAAAAATTCAAAATCGGGAACATAATTCAACTAAATATGTTCATGTTTCAGTAATCCTTTGAAATCGGGAGTAATAACATGTTCTTATTATCTTTACAAAACCACAACTCAAAACGCCCTTGTTTGTTTTTGAAATGATTATATTTGCAAGGTACGGTTTTTCACGTCAGCCAACGCAGATGTCTCGAAACGGCGCTACTTCGTGACGCGGACTCACTGAAAAGTTTCAAATAACCGACAAGACGTTACGTTTTTCAGCCAGTTGCCATCTGACTGTATAGTCAAGGCGTGTATAGAAGAAGCTTTGGCAACGCCAGTATTGACGCTCACCTAGAAAGCATCAATTTCATCATTTTTTATCACCATCTCACCGCTAACAAGCACTTAGACATGAAATATGACCAGGAATTACTCTCAACAAGTTTTAGGATCGGTCTAAGACCTCGACGATGCAAACAATTAATCTTGAAGTTTTATTTTGCCCTTATTTTATTTTCATGTTTTGTTTTCAGAGTGAACTCAAATTAAAAATTAAACATACAAGGTTAAAAAACCCAGGTCATGCAGCACACTGGTGCTCAAGGCTATAAAAATGGAAGTATTCGTCAGCTGGCACAAACCGACCAGAGGTTAGTTTAAAAGAAGTATCTTTACTGTCTTCCTGAACGTTCTCAAAATGTTAAAGAACCTGTTGATCCTGGGCTTGATGATCACTCCAATCTTCGGCCAAGGTTGCGCCGGGGGTACCGGTACCGGTCAAGGCAGTGGCACCAACGGCTTTGGCTCCGGTTTTGGAAGAGGATTTGGTTCGGGCACCGGACCTGGTGGTACCTACAGCGGCGGAGGTGTCGGAAGCGGTCGAGGCGGTGGCATCAACGGTGGATCTGGCTCCGGCTCTGGCACCGGCTCTGGCTTTGCCTGTGGCGGTGGCAAGCGCTAATGTCGCAATCAATGTTGAAAGGTAACTCTCGTCTTCACATATTTCAAATGTTTTTTTTTTCTCTTTTTTGTCTTTGTGTTTCTAATGTGTTTTGAAACTTACTTTCTTTTTCCGATTAAGTATTTAATATCTTTCGTTACCGTATTTCTGTACCATCAGATAAAAAAAAAAATTAAAAACAGACATTTAGAAACGACGTTTCTTTTCTTTTCATTAAGTACGGCCCAAAAATGATTTTTTAATTATGTGGAATATAGCTCTACGTCCATAAATTTAGAATTAAAGCATTTCATTAGATTCACACCCATATTTCCAAAACAGTGCAAAATGCAAAAAAAAAAAAAAAAAAAAAAAAATGGTGAATATTTCGATGCAGTGAATTGAAAAAAATTTTTTCTGTATAGTTTTCAGAGGAAAAGCACAACTGTCACTTAATGTTGCCGAAAACACGTCTCTTTAGCAAGGATGGAAGAGTACAGACATCTTTAAGCTCTGCATCGCCATTAACTGATCGTAGCAGATTCAACGCCTATAAAGATTTTGTGGCTTGGACTCTAAAAAGATCTCGTTTGAAAAGGAAGATTTATGGGATGCGCCTTCTATTGTTCTCAGTTTAACCAAAATTAAATCAGCTGTCACCAAGTTTTATGCTTTCTTAAATAAATATTTTACCGCTTATCTTTGATATTCACTTATCTTTTTTTTCTCGAAAATTTGTCTTATCAAGTGAAAAATATTCTGTTTTATTTTTCTTTCTGGCTTTTATTTAATTAATTATTTATTTTTTTTGAAGATTTCTTAACCTGATTACCATTAGCTTATACGTCAACAGTGTGGGAAAAATAAAAAAGTGTCATTGTTTTTTACAATATATATTACTAGACAGTAAACAGTGCACTAAAAATTATAGAGGCTGAGCGATAATTCAGCCAACCGACAGTCATCGGAATACATACAGTACCTAACACAGGTCGTCGTACGCGTTGTCTAATCACCCAATTTTTTAAGAAGAAAATAAAGAAAAAAATTATACAAGTAACATTTCTCATCCAACCGCGGTCAATGACGCCTGTTCCAACCAGACGACTGTTTAACGTCGCAAATGTAATCTTATTCTTTAGAATCTACTTTGTACAGGAACAAATTTCTTTATAACTTCCCAGTGGGAAGGTACTTTAAATAAAACAATAGGGGAAAGGAAAAAAGGCTGACGGTTTTCAATATACCTGTAAATATTATAAAATTTAACTAAAACGCAAGTTAAAATATTAACATTTGATCGGTACAGCAGGAACTTTATGTAAAAATAAAGAGAGTAAATTTGCAAAGAAATAGAATAAAGATGGATTAGCAAAAACATAAGTTAAAAAATATATAATAGTAAAGAGCATGGCCATGTTATAAAAGGCACTTTAATTCCTGTCTCTGAACAGTATTTTGTCTTTTTTCTCACGTAAAGGAAAACATGTTTGTGTCCTTAATAATTTATATTCCTTCTTAAAAGCTTACTCATTGAGCACATCAATAGTCAGCCATTCCTAAGTGTAAGGAAGCGGTTTATAAGTCCCAAGTGCCTGTACTTTAACTGCACCCCTGTTGCATAATTTTGCTTTGTTCTATGATAAAGCCTCGGCGGTTGCGTAATCATTTAAATTCAAACACACAGTAGAATTATTGTCATCATCTCTTTTTTACAGCAGGCAGAGACACAGGTGACTTAGACATAATATATAACCAGCAATCATACGTACGTGACATGACATTTCATTTATATATGTATATATATTAGATTTAAATAAATAATAAATATTATAATTATATTTAAAGAGGGAAGGTGTGGAAATGGAGCTAATTCCGATCTTTGTGCAAGGCGTTTACCATTAGCTATCTCCGGCAATATTTTTGTTTTTTCACTGTTTATTTATGAAAAAGACGATCTTGCAATTGAAAATGTAGAATTGAAATATTTCAGCAGACCCCACAACATATCCCTTAAACAAAGTAAAATTAAAAAAACAAATGATAACAGAATGTACATTTATTTCATTACAGTGAGATGCATTTTCCTCTGTCTTATTGTTTTCAGAAAAAAATATAATTGATGCACACTGCTGCAGAAAACACGTCTCACCAGTGAGGATGGAGATTAGCTGACGTTTTAAAAGCTCTGTATCTTATTTCCGGCAGGTATACCGGCTAAAAATCTTTGACACGGAAAAAGTTTGAAAACAAGATGATGTAATGTAATTCTTTGGCACCGAAATTAAAACAGTAGATATAGATACCTTTTTTTCACATACCAGATACCAGGATGTGTCTCAAATTTATTTGATCTCCATTTTTTTTTCTTTTTCTTTTCCTGCTTTCTCTTTATCATGGCTTAAACCTAAACATTTCATTCCGATATCTCTCCTTACATTTTATTCTTTCTTTTCTATCTCTGTTTTCTTTCTAGCTTTTTTCTCTCTTTTACCTTTTCTGTCTCTCTTTCTCTCTCTCTTTTTCCTTCCTTTGTAAAATTATATTTTCCTCATTCTTTTCTTCATCTTTTCATTACAATACTATTATCAAATTCTTCACTTTAGGGGCTATTTGTCATGAATACCGTAAATGAATGCATTTTGACATCTAATTTGTTAATGACTGATATTGTGATAAAGGCAAGCGATATGATTTTCGATATAGCTTATTTAGTACATTATTATGCAGGTAAATCAATATGCATGAAACAGTAAATAGCTTTTAACCCTTTCCTCAATATAAAAAGACAAAACAGTAGCAGTGCGTTTTTGTTGTGCATACTAAACACACATCAGACGACTAATGAAAAAATACTGCAATGTTTTCAAGTTTATTACCGACATTTAAAACAAACAATATAAAGATGTATACAACTCACGAATCAATACGTACACACGCACACACACACACACACACACTTGCACACACACACTTTATTTTGAGCATTAAAACGAGATAATATCATAACAAAATGCAAACATTAACAATATGATCGATTTTATTCATTAATTCGACATTTTTCTTATATGAAATAACAATTTTTGAAATTTATTTAACTGCACTTTTATTTCGAGCATTAAAACATCACAGACCAGATAACACTCAGCTCTTGATGCTTTTGCTGAGTGAAAATGATTATTCTTTTGATATTGTTTTAAAGTCGGTCGCCCCAAATTCCCATCTTGATAAAAGTTGGGCAAATCGAACTTGTCTCATATTCGTGGCAACGTCATAATTAAGCAGGTTCATTCATAATAATTTCAGTCAATGAACGAAGAAAGAATTCCCTCTTCTGATCTCATCGTTTTTCGTTGGAGACCCCTTGAAACACATCATGTAACGCTGCTCTCTGAAAAGAAAAATATGTAAACGATATAAAAATAAATAAATAACCCCTTTTCAGTCAATAAGTTTCTAAAAATAATTGCAAGTCGGAGCTTTACAAAATAACAGGAATAAATATCGATATTAAGATCAAGATTAAGATGTTTATATAAAATTAACAAAACACACATTTTCACAGATGGAAGTAGTCACACTTTACAAATCTGTTGGATCTGTTTAATGTAGATCTGATGATACATATACATCTATAAAAAGCAATTTATAATTGCAACAAAATATCTACCTACACGTAATTGGACTAGTGCTTTGTTGAAAAGCTAGACCTTCTCGTAGGTGGAGACATCTGGGACGGCGTAGTCAGCTGAACCTTGTCCTTGACCGGAACCAAAACCGCCGCCAGAGCCACCATCGGCACCACCGCCGCCACCCCCTCCGCCTCCACTGCCACCAACAACACCTCCAAGAAGACCAGCAAACCCACCCCCTTGTCCCTGGCCGTAGCCGGCCCCGACACCGCCTGGAGAACTGCTGCCACCTCCGCCGCCGCCACCGCCGCCGCCGCCAGCAGCAACTCCTCCGTGTAGAAACTTAAGGTCTGGTAGAAGACCATCGACACCAGCCTGACCTCCGCCTTGACCTGATCCGAAGCCGCCGCCTACTCCCCCATCGGCGCCGCCACCTCCGCCGCCGCCGCCACCGCCGCCGCCGGCTAGGAGACCGTCTGGCCCCAGGGCTACGCCACTGCCGAAACCTGCGCCGAAGCCAAAACCAGAACCGCCTTCATCACCTCCTCCGCCGCCGCCGCCTCCACCGCCGCCGCCAGCAGCAACGCCTCCGGGTGCTAAGTTTAAGCCTGGTTGAGAACCATCTACAACAACTTGCCCTCCGCCTTGACCAGAACCAAAGCCGCCGCCAAATCCTCCATTAGCCCCGCCGCCTCCCCCTCCGCCGCCACCGCCGCCGCCGGCGACAACGGTACCTCCTCGACTCACAGCATAACCTCTGCCGTAACCGGCACCGTATCCGAATCCAGAACCGCCTTTTCCTCCGCCCCCTCCTCCTCCGCCTCCACCGCCTCCAGCACTAACGTTATTGTCACCAAGTGGCGCAGCAATAAGCGGAGCAATAGCCACACCGAGGACAAGCAGTGCCTTAAACATTTCGGAGATGGTTTGGAAAGATGGATGTTTTCCAATGAAAAGCGTCGGCCCGATTTGCTCTTTTATGTACGTTACAGTGGCGTGACCAACCTTTTAATGCCAAATATATGTCATAATTTTCTTATTTCGATTCAATAATTGCTTCCACAATTACAAAAATGAAAGAAATGATGGCGTATATGTCATTCCAAACTATACAGAAGTTTCCTGATGGTCACACATTTTTTTCACATTGAATATTGTAACTCAAAAAAAATCATGAAATAATACAATCAATGTTTGTTACAGCAGTGCCGTTTCCTCAACTTGTGGTCAACGAGGGTCAATATAAAAAAATTAATACCTGCATTGTGGTAGTTACACCCGTCACAGCTATCCCACTTAAGGCTGAACCTGATAAATTGTTATGTTGGTCAGGTAGGAGAACAGTAGAAAGTGAAAAAGACTGGAAAAGTGATGGTGGCTACTTAATTTTGGGTGTATTCACTTACTTAAATTTTTTTTTCCATTACAATTATTATTATTATTATTATTATTATTATTATTATTATTATTATGAAGTAATGCCAAAATGGTAAAATGGTACTTTCCAGGAAGTGTTCTAAACCCACGAGTGTATGTTTATAATTGTCTGGTCAGATGATGCGATTATTTACTGTATGGATGCAGAGTTGTGTAAACAATATTATTATGTTAGTATTCATTCATTTATTTACAACAACTGGTACATGTATACCACACCTTCTGCTACTGCTACTTCTACTACTTTTATTGAAAAATGTCATAAGATGACTCATCTTATAGCTATACTACGTTTTGTCAGTCGTGTTCAAATGTTTCTCTTTAAGTTTGTGGTTTCATTTAAGTGTGATAAAAAAAAGTTGCATGGACAAAATTATGCAATGAGAATTTCAGACTTGCATGTGCGCATGTTCGGGTCCCTTTCCTTTCAAGGCGAGGCACAGAGATGGAAATCTCCGTCACGTTGAGTCCCAAAACCAGGTACAATTGTTATGCGCACGAAATAATTGGCTCGGCGAGTAGGAGGAGGGAGTAGCATTAAACTGGCTTCTTTACATTGCAAAAGTGGTTCGAAAGTACGTTTTGCAGACAAATGAGAAATCACAACAACCTGATAAGTAATCAATTTACATGCCAACGTAAAATTCAAAATGGCATTCTGTCCCAAAAGGGAAAGGCAAAATGGTAAGACATATATTTAAACAATTAAAACGACGCAAGAAAAGTTATTGATATTGCTTCCACTCGTCTAGGAGGAAGAATACCAATGACTACAATAACTACACGGTTTTAACTATGAAAAACACCCCGGTGATTGCTCCCTATAGCGCCAAGCAATCGCATAATGGCATTTCGACCGCAAAAGGAGGAAATACAACAAGGTAAGCATAGATAAATTGATATGCCACTTAGAATAGGGAAATGTTGTTCATTTTGATGCGCGAAAAAAATAAGTTGTACGGACGTATCAATCACAAAAGTGGAAGACATTTTTTTTTATCACCTGGATTTCCTAAATAACAAAAACAAGTTCCTCTGGAGATAGCAAGGACTTCACAGCTGGAGTTGCGACTGTAGGCTGGATCTCTTGGAGGTATTCAACTCAAAAGAGCCTTAATTCGTTGCTTAAGAAATATTGCTAAATTTGTTGGGAGGCTGTGGATGTGACCGCATTGCAAAATAGTAAATAAACCCCTTATCACTATTATAATCATTGGCATTCTTCTTATTATGTAAGTACATTCATTGCCAACATTACTGCTTTATACATGCACTGTCGTAATGTACCAATGAAGAGATATCACGGTAAAATAATTTAAACAAAACTGTATTGAGAGAGACGTGATTATTAGAAGAGATACAACAGTTATATTATTTCCACCCATCCCAAAGATAGCAAAACAAAAACCCCGCCAACCGTTAACTTGCATAAAGTGACATTTTATGTATTTCTTGTTGATATAACACCACGCCATTCTGCGTTAAAAAAGCGCTTATCATTTTTTTTCAAGGTTTGCCTTTATTACTTTTACTCAAAAATGCTTCCTTTAAGATGAGTGAGACATCCATGAATTGTTTAACCTGTTTACTTAATGAAGGTCAAAGTAGTAGCAGCGTATTTTGTTTCGGGTATAATTTGGTAGGAACCTGGTAAAGTAAAGGTAAGAGATATACGCTATTGCAAATAGTGACAAAAAATTGACATTTGTTAATTTTGCGATAAATATTCAAATCGGATTCCTACAACTGAACCATGTGACAGATCTTCGGATTGATAACATTATAATATTTATCAGTTATATGTCAATGACATCACATGTTGACTAAGAGCCAGGAAAAGTGCAGCACACGAATAACTTTGTTGGCGGAATGCCGTTTGCAGGGTTTTAAGTCTGAACGCGGCTTAACACAATTTGCTCGACGAAGACAATACACAACCAATTACCATTAGGTCCCAAGCACTGNAAAAAAAGAACGTATTTTTACCTGGGTATACCTTCGAAACTGAAATATTCCATATTAAATGTCAAGTCTGTAGCTTTTAACCCTTTCCCCAATATAAAAAGACAAAACAGTAGCAGTGCGTTTTTGTTGTGCATACTAATCACACATCAGACGACTAATGAAAAAATACTGCAAAAATACACTATTTAACAGTGTGTGCTGACTTGATTCAATTTAAATGGTCAACTAAAATAATGCCTTGTGCTTTCAAATTAAATAAAAAGTACTTTCCAAGCAGGTAGGGCAGTTGCGATAATAAATTGCAAATCTAAGTATCTGCACACCATCTATCAAATACAAATCGGTTGTCTACATGATATGCATAAGATGGATGTTTAGCATAACTTTCAACATATTTGTTTAAATTATATTTGTATTATGATAATGCTCAATGCTCAATTTTTGGTACGAGGATGCTTTGTGACTGGTCCACAATTACAGTTAGTGATTTCTTTTCTTTTCTTTTTTTTTTTTCAAGTCTATTACCGACACTTAGGGCATACAATACAAATATGTATACTGTTCGCGAATTAACACGTACACACGCGCACACACGCGCACACACGCACACACACACACACACACTTGCACTAGGGCAATAGCCTACAAAACCCATTTAATACAGTAGGATATTTAATAAGTGACATTTCTACGAAAGAGACAACGTTTGTATCAGTACTTCCTGATACTGGGCGTATATTTTGCAGTGAAGTAACAGAAAGCTTCACGTGTAATACTCAAGAATACTGTCATCACTTTATGAACTCGGCATAAAAACAAATGCTATTGTAGCCCAATTTAAGCTTAGCATAAAATGATTTAACAAAATATTGTATATGGTATTATTTCTGTTACGAGGAACATGGTTTTAAATCGACAAGATAATAGCATATCAAAATGCATACATTAACAATATAATCGATTTTATTTATTAATTCGACCTTTTCTTATATGAAATAACATATTTTTGAAATTTGCTTACTGCAATTTTTTAAGCATTAAAACATCACAGACCAGATAACACTCAGCTCTTGCAATTGATGGTTCTGCTGAGTGAAAATGATTATTGTTTTGAGATTGTTTTAAGGTTCCCATCTTGATAAAATTTGGGCAAATCGAATTTGTCTCATATTCGTGGCCACGTCATAATTAAGCAGGTTCATTCATAATAATTTCAGTCAAAGAACGAAGAAAGAATTCCCTCTTCTGATCTCATTGATTTTCGTCGGAGATCTCTCTTGAAACACATCATGTAACGTTGCTTTCTGAAAAGAAAGATATGTAAACGATATAAAGATAAATAAATAACCCATTTTAAGTCAATAAGTTTCAAAAATAATTGCAACTCGGCGCTTTATAAAATAACAGGAATAAATATCGATATTAAGATCAAAGTCAATGAAATATTAACACATACAACTACCTTATTTTGTAGGCAAATCCTCTAACAGAAAATTTCGTTTTACATCTTTTATAATTTAGATAACATTGTTTTTTATTTATTTATTTATTTATTTTGTATCCCAGATGCTTATATAAAATTAACAAAACATACATTTTCACAAATGGAAGCAGTCACACTTTACATATCTGTTGGATCTGTTAAATGTAGATCTAATCATACAAATACGTCTATAAAAAGCAATCTATAATTGTAAAAAAATATCTACCTACACGTAGTTTGACTGGTGCTTTGTTGAAAAGCTAGACCTTCTCGTAGGTGGAGACATCTGGAACGGCGTAGTCAGCTGAGCCTTGTCCTTGGCCGGAACCAAAACCGGCGCCAAAGCCACCATCGGCACCACCGCCGCCACCCCCTCCGCCTCCACTGCCACCAACAACACCTCCAGGAAGACCAGCAAACCCACCCCCTTGTCCCTGGCCATAGCCGGCGCCGACACCGCCTGGAGAACTGCTGCCACCTCCGCCGCCGCCACCGCCGCCGCCGCCAGCAGCAACGCCTCCGTGTAGAAACTTAAGGTCTGGTAAAAGGCCATCGACAACAACCTGACCTCCGCCTTGACCTGATCCGAAGCCGCCACCTACTCCCCCATCGGCGCCGCCACCTCCACCGCCGCCGCCACCGCCGCCGCCGGCTAGGAGACCGTCTGGTCCTAGGGCTACTCCACTGCCGAAACCTGCACCGAAGCCAAAACCAGAACCGCCTTCGTCACCTCCTCCTCCGCCGCCGCCTCCACCGCCGCCGCCAGCAGCAACGCCTCCGGGTGCTAAGTTTAAGGCTGGTTGACTACCATCTACAACAACTTGCCCTCCGCCTTGACCAGAACCGTAGCCGCCGCCAAATCCGCCATTGGCACCTCCGCCTCCTCCTCCGCCTCCTCCTCCGCCGCCGGCAACAACGGTACCTCCTCGACTAACAGCATAACCTCTGCCGTAACCGGCACCGTATCCGAATCCAGAACCGCCTTTTCCTCCGCCCCCTCCTCCTCCGCCTCCACCGCCTCCAGCACTAACGTTATTGTCACCAAGTGGCGCAGCAATAAGCGGGGCAATAGCCACACCGAGGACAAGCAGTGCCTTAAACATTTCGGAGATGGTTTGGAAAGATGAATATCTTCCAGTGAAAAACCTCAGCCAGATTTACTCTTTTATGTACGTTACAGTGGCGTGACCAACCTTTTTATGCCAGATATATGTCATAATTTTCTAATTTCGAGTCAATAATTGCTTCCACAATTACAAAAATGAAAGAAATGATGGCGTATAAGTCATTCCAAACTATTTAGAACTTCCCTGTTGGTTGCACATTTTTTTTCACATTGAATATTGTAACTCACAAAAATCATGAAAAAATACAATCAATGTTTGTTACAGCAGTGCCGTTTCCTCAACTTGTGGTCAACAACGGTCAATATAAAAAATTAATACCTGCATTGTGGTAGTTACACCCGTCACAGCTATCCCACTTAAGGCTGAACCTGATAAATTGTTGGTTGGTCAGGTAGGAGAACAGTAGAAAATGAAAAAAAACTGGAAAAGTGATGGTGTCTACTTAATTTTGGGTGTATCACTTACTTAAAATAATTTTTTCCATTACAATTATTATTATTATTATTATTATTATTATGAAGTAGTGCCACAGCAATGGAACTTTCCAGGAAGAGTTGTACAACCACGAGTGTATGTTTATAATTGTCTGGTCAGATGATGCGATTATATACTGTATGGATGCAGAGTTGTGTAAACAATATTATTATGTTAGTATTCATTCATTTATTTACAACAACTGGTACATGTATACCCCACCTTCTGCTACTGCTACTACTATTACTTTTATTGAAAAATGTAATAAGGTGACTCACTTTATATCTTATAGCTATACTACGTTTTGTCAGTCGTGTACAAATGTCTCTCTTTAAGTTTGTGGTTTCATTTAAGTGTGATAAAAAAAGTTGCATGGACAAAATTGTGCAATGAGAATTTCAGACTTGCATGTGTACATGTTCTTGTACCTTTCCTTTCAACGCGAGGCACAGAGATGGAAATCTCCGTCACGTGGAGTCCCAAAACCAGGTACGATTGTTATGCGCACGAAATAATTGGCTCGGCGAGTGGGAGCAGGGATTAGCATTAAACTGGCGTCTTTACATTGCAAAAATGGTTCGAAAGTACGTTTTGCAGACAAATGAGAAATCACAACAACCTGATAAGTTATCAATTTACATGCCAACGTAAAATTCAAAATGGCATTTTGTCCAAAAAGGGAAAGGCAAAATGGTAAGACATTTATTTAAACAATTAAAACGACGCAAGAAAAGTGATTGATATTGCTTCCACTCGTCTAGGAGGAAGAATACCAATGACTACAATAACTACACGGTTTTAACTATGAAAAACACCCCGGTGATTGCTCCCTATAGCGCCAAGCAATCGCATAATGGCATTTCGACCGCAAAAGGAGGAAATACAACAAGGTAAGCATAGATAAATTGATATGCCACTTAGAATAGGGAAGTGTTGTTCATTTTGATGCGCAAAAAAAATAAGTTGTACGGACGTATCAATCACAAAAGTGGAAGACATTTTTTTATCACCTGGATTTCCTAAATAACAAAAACAAGTTCCTCTGGAGATAGCAAGGACTTCACAGCTGGAGTTGCGACTGTAGGCTGGATCTCTTGGAGGTATTCAACTCAAAAGAGCCTTAATTCGTTGCTTAAGAAATATTGCTAAATTTGTTGGGAGGCTGTGGATGTGACCGCATTGCAAAATAGTAAATAAACCCCTTATCACTATTATAATCATTGGCATTCTTCTTATTATGTAAGTACATTTATTGCCAACATTACTGTTTTATGCATGCACTGTCGTAATGTACCAATGAAGAGATATCACGGTAAAATAATTTAAACAAAACTGTATTGAGAGAGACGTGATTATTAGAAAAGATACAACAGTTATATTATTTCCACCCATCCCAAAGACAGCAAAACAAAAACCCCGCCAACCGTTAACTTGCATAAAGTGACATTTTATGTATTTCTTGTTGATATAACACCACGCCATTCTGCGTTAAAAAAGCGCTTATCATTTTTTTCAAGGTTTGCCTTTATTACTTTTACTCAAAAATGCTTCCTTTAAGATGAGTGAAACATCCATGAATTGTTTAACCTGTTTACTTAATAAAGGTAAAAGTAGTAGCAGCGTATTTTGCTTCGGGTATAATTTTGTAGGAACCTGGTAAAGTATTGGTAAGAGATATACGCTATTGCAAATGGTGACAAAAAATTGGCATTGGTTAATTTTGCGATAAATATTCAAATCGGATTCCTACAACTGAACCATGTGACAGATCTTCGGATTGATAACATTATAATATTTATCAGTTATATGTCAATGACATCACATGTTGACTAAGAGCCAGGAAAAGTACAGCGCACGAATAACTTTGTTGGCGGAATGCCGTTTGCAGTGTTTTAAGTCTGAAAGCGGCTTAACACAATTTGCTCGACGAAGACAATACACAACCAATTACCATAAGGTCCCAAGCACAGTCTTATCTTCTCTATGGTCATTAAACAAGGTGTACACGTATTAGCCAAACAACCAAGACCAATGCTACACGTACACTCTAATTCTTATTAATCATGCAGCAAGGTAAACCAAATGGGCCATCAGCCAACAACAAGCACGCAAGCAATGATAATTCATTTTTCGGGCTGCTAAAAAACCTGAGCTTTTCTTTTCCTCGTAATCATTCACCGCATAGGAAAGAATCATCCAATACGCGACAAACACGATTCTATAAAAAGCTATTTACAGTAACGTGGCCCGCATTCGCTTTTAATAGAACTCCACGGTACCTGAAAAGATCCAAGTCCATTCTTCCTTCCGTAACCATCAAGATTCCACAATGTGGAAGGTTGCGTTTATTCTCATGGTGGCGGCTTTGCCGATCATGTCGCAAGAGTCTTTCAGCTATTCCTTCAGCACTGACGCTGAGGGGAATGTTGTGAGTTCAAGTTCTAGCAGCGATGGTACCAGGGGTGCGGCCGGAGGGGGTGGAGGCGGTGCCCCGCCGCCTAGAGGAGACGGCGTCGGCACCCTGAGCGCCCGACGGGGTCCTGGCGATCCTATCATCATAGATAACGGGCAACCTCCAGGAGGAGACGGCGGAGGCCCAGGGCAAGGAGGCAGCGGTGGTGGTGGCGGTGGCGGTGGCGGCGGCGGCGGTGGGCGTGGCGGCAGCGGTGGTAGCGGCGGTAGCGGTTTTGGAGCTGGATTTGGTCAAGGAGGCGGAAGCGGCGGCGGCGGTGGCGGCGGCGGTGGCGGTGGCGGTGGCGGCCAAGGTGGCAGTTATGTTGGCAACGGTGGAGCACCCCCGGGCTTTACCTCCCCCGAGGACATTGCCCGGTGGGTTGGTAACAATCTGCAGAGACTTGCACAGAATGTTGGACGTTAGACTGGTAAGACAAATCTGACCATAAAATTAAATAATCGTTTTTGGTCTTTTTTTTCTCCATAGAGCTTCATATATTTAAATGCATGTGCAGTTGTAAAGTAATACCAAATGACAAAAAAGATATTTGTAGATCATATTCGTCCATTTTGTTTTAATTTAGATCTACATTCCGTTTTTTTTTATGCAGTGGATAAACGATAAAAAAGAAAAGAAGTAACTTAATTTGTATGCACTCTTGACATATTGCTGAAGATTGATTGACTCAGGGCTTCTAAAATTCATCTTGGCTGAAAATGACTAATATATCGTGCTATTTGTTCTTTTGTCTGTTTTACGCCATTGTTAGGACTGAATGATGGCACGTGTACTATATAAATCATACTTCGGCATCATTGCTGTTTCTCATGCAACCCAGCAATATTGCGTGTTTAAATCTGTTAAAAAAGAAAAACATTCCCGAGCTCGTAAGCACGACCTCATAGGTAAGACAGGGCTCTTCTTGTGTAATGTTTTAACACATTAAGGGATTGCCTTGATTACCTACATTATGTCACCTATCGTTTATCTTTTAGAATGACACCATCTCCACCTATCGGCCATTATCGCTGCATCGGGAAGGTTCCAGACTGACGAACTGTTGTTCTAAGGACAAATGGCAGTACCTCAATAATTTTTCATAAAATCACATCTTCCTGTTTTTATTGCATCTGAAAAAATGTCTGCAACCCGTTGACATCATCAGCTTTACTTATTATATTTGCTATTGGATATAGAGAGCCATTAATAGGTTCTGAACGTAAGTCATGCTAACAGAGGTTGAAGTAAAGGATTTTGAAATCTCAGCCTGTTTCGGGTATATACAATGCTGTAAATAAAAACTGCGCATAGTCCTGCCTTATTTTGTATCGACATTCTCTCTCTCTCTCTCTCTCTCTCTCTCTCTCTTAATTCGATGTGTCAGGCATCGCTTTTAAACGTGACTATGAGTCACCTTAAACCGACATTATGGTCTTCGGATGAACTACTTCACCACACGCGACAAAACTGTGTGATTTTCAGTAGTCATTCATACATAAATATAAGCAATTGAAGATACAAAACCACGAGTGAGATGGAGGCGGGGTCAAGAATTTAACAAAGGAGGTTTCACCAATTAATTGCACTAATGTTTAACTGAAAAAAAAAGTGGAATAGCACATGATGCCGGTCAACAAATCAAATATTTGTCGGTTTTATTAGCTGGTGTCATAAAATTGCACTGCACTGCATCTCTGCATCTGCTTCTTTTGCAGAAATAGGATAAGGGGGATGGGGGCTTTTGGATCAAAGTCTAAAATTACAATGTAATTCAACTGTAATTCACTCATAATGCAGATATTTTCTTGTCCGTGCAGGCGAAGTAATCGTCACAAATGCGTGCGACGTGCGCGTTGTCACGTCCCACTATGAAATACAAATGACTGGAAATCATCCAATTGCAAAAAAATCATCTTGATAACACCGAAATGGTATTCAACGGCCATTAAGGTTTTTATTCCGTTTTGGAAATCAACGGTTAATAAATTGATGCTTCGGTGGCAATAAAAAGTGATCCTGGCAACATATGACAATCGCTATATCAAGTGGGCAATAATAAATGACGAGGATCCTTTTTTCTAATAAAGTATTTATTGTGAGTAGATTAACTCTAATTATGTCAATGCATCTTGTTTGATTTTGGTTTTCGGATTTATAAGGGGTAGATCACCATATACCATCCTCCGCTCTCACTCTCTGTCTCTCTCTGTATGTGTATGTGTGTGTGTGTGTGTGTGTATGTGAACTTGTGTAAAATCCTTGTCTTAAAATCTTTACTTTTTATACTCGCAGTCTGTAATTTTCTCCTCTATTAAAAAAAGACCGTTTATACATGTAATTTGGCAAAAGAAGGCCACCACACAAACAATTTCTCCTGTCGATGCAAAAACAAAAGTGAGAATAAGCCATGTCAGGTAGACCTACAATGTTCATGTATTTCAGGAGAACCCGTCAACACACGAAAAAGGATAGGCTTACATGCATCAGTTGTGAGCAGCTTCATAACGTTTTCTCTCTCTGTATTAGAACTGCGCAGTTGTAATTTAAACACACGATCCCCATCATCTATAATACCCACTGTTATGCTAGTTTATCTAATTACTGTATTAGTATAATAAGCATAATAATAATCAGATCCGGGATTATGGATAGAAATATACACATACTAGTATATTTAAACTGTGTTTCACTGTGAAACCAGCGTATTTCTCGCAGAGGACGAGAAAACCAGGTAGGCTACAATTGAATGTATTCTTCATCCATTTTTTTCACAGCATCCGAAGCAGTATTTTTTTTATAATGTCGTTGTGCAAGAGCATACTTAGAAAACAAAATCATTCGGCCTGCTTTTGTTTCAGTCGATGTCAATACTGTAAATATCAAAACTCCAGATATGTAATTTTTCGGCCAAACGGGGAAAATCTTGCGTGTATTTGTGATTAAAATGTTTTGATAAAGTAGCACATACTGGTATATATAGTACATTTATAACTATTTTACAATTCTTTTAGAAGAGAACACTGACATAAAATGAACAGAGTGCCAGACATCATTTGCCTGGTGGTGGTGGCGATCGCCACGCGGGAGATGTTGTTTGTCCAAGCTGGTAAGAACATGATCTCTCTCTCTCTCTCTCTCTCTCTCTCACTCTCTCTCTGCTGTTTTCTCTATATATTTAGAATGTTCACTAATGTCTGAGTGCCTGTGTGTGTGTGTGTGTGTGTGTGTGTGTGTGTAAAAGAGAGAGAGAGAGAGAGAGAGAGAGAGAGGCGGGGGGTCAGGGGCGGATCCAAGATTATTTCAATAGAGGGTCCGCAGATGCTAACCCTTCCCTCCCCCCCCTCCCTTGCTTGGGGTTGGGGACCCACTGAAGGACCCCGAAAATGTTGGTAATATAGAGGGCGAACGGTGCCATTTCATAGAGTTTAAAACTATGATTCAGCAAATCCGCCATTGGGGGGGGGGGGGGGGGACGAAGGAGTGAAGAATGGTATATGGTGAAGAGAGACAAATAGTGTGTGTGTGTGTGTGTGCTCTTGTGCACGCATTCTAACCGAGGACACACACCCGCCCGAAACCCACTAACCGAGGACACACCTCCAACCGAGGACGTCCTCGGTTGACATAAGCAGTGGAATGCATAAAGGGGCCCATTTCAAGTTAGGTGGTGAAATTTGACGCTATTCTGAGCCAGTCCTCGGTTATGCTGTATAGCGCGGGCCAAATTCCCGCCACGAGTGTATCAGAAATACTGTCCAACTTTTTGTCTGAAATCGGGCTATACACACGCGTCCTCGGTTGTGCTGTAAAGGGCGGACCAAATTCCGCGTCCTCGGTTGTGCTGTAAAGGGCAGACTAAACTGAAACTANTATTAATTTCTCTCCTTAGAGGACGAACCGTGCCTACAGGAGTTGGGGAGATGCCAGTTCCAAGGGAAAACATACTGCCCCTTTGACTATGCAACAGGTCTTTGTGGCGGACCACCCGACAGAATGTGCTGTGTACACCGCGCTCTTCCGCCCTAACTGCGCAAGTTCAACTCATTAAGCAACTTCGTGAGCTTCATTTGAATTCAATTTTAGTGCTTTAAAGTAACCAAAGGATGTACAAAATATTTCTAAAGGCTGAAATTCTATATAAAGGTCTTACTCCTCATCACGGCTGCAGAGCTTTGTTTCGGCAATAAATTTCATCTTTGTTTTATATATTTCGTTTTGTCGTAAATGGTGAGGTGAGTGCGTGCGTGCTTGCCATCGTGACGGAAATGGAACGCATGTTGAGATTGTGGAATTTTAGCAAATACAAAATGAGAGAACCATCAGAATCACAGAATCGGATTTACAAGAATCTAAGGCCGGATCCAAGCCTTTCGGTGACCACATTACTTTTTAAATAAATATTGTTTTATACTTCTCTCATATCCTCTTACTTGTTCCATAATTTCCGTTATGCCATGCAAATAGATTCTTCTTAATTTTTATTAAAACTATTTCCAGAACATGAGATTATTTTACTCTGGCTGCTTGACCCCCCTCTCCCCTGGTATCCTAAACACGTGCTTAGCTTGCTATTACATTTATCTGACCCTGCTTTATAACATTGAAAAGAAAGAAAATTGTCATTTACATGTATCACTTTTCAGAACTTTTGGAATAAAATCATTACGCAGGACTAAAGCGAAGCACACAACTGAAGAAAAAAGAAAACTTTTCATCGCACGAAAAAGAAATAAATATTTACCAGTTGTTTCCCTTATCAGGGTTTATCACTGCAATACAATAATCAACCATAACTCAAGCGCAAAGCACCAGCTATAAAAATACTTCATTTCAACAAATAACAGAAATGTCAAATGTAATGGCATTATCTTTGTTTACCGTTGAGACGTTTCTATCTGTGGAAGATCCATGCTTTCCTGTCGTTTCAGATCGGTACCTATGAGTAAAAACAAAAAGAAAACAGTAAAAGAGACGTACAAACTGTTCTTTAAGGGGTTTATTTTATATGTTATAAATGCCTACGTTTAGGAAAAAATCTCCCCCTCTCCTTCCGTTTCCTTTAGGTCGAATATATGTATTAGTGTAATGAATTAAACTCTTTTAAACTGCAAACTTCTTTTTTTTCTTTTATTTTATTCACCAACCCAAGCGCTGCCCTGCACATAGCGCGGCCGAGCATTTGTCGTCAATGTACTTTTTTCGTTAACCAAGCTTCTTTGTCAATTGGTGTGAGAAATTGGTCAGTTTCTGACGTACAAACGCTACAAAGTAAGATTTATCATGAAATGTTGGAGTCAGCACTGTGACTATTAATTGCGTGGTACACTTACATGTACCGGTACATTCCACCAAACTATGCAGTCCATACATACATGTAGGCCTATCATTATTTGATGCAATAAATCAGCCAACTTCATTCCTAAACATAAAATGGTACTTTTAAATCACTTTAATACAATATCAGCCTTGCCTACAAACGGTAGGCCTACCTTTTTTATTCATTTCAAAAAAATTGTTTGACGTCCCGTTCACTGGCCATCTGTCGGTTTCCGGACGTACTGCGCCTGCGCCGCCATCCAGAGTTCAGATCAGCCATGTCGCCGACATCCACGTCTTCCTTCAGTGAGTGTCCGCGGTTGGTGCTCTGGTATAGGGGAAGGGGATAGTCCAAGTAATCTGTAAAATAAATATGCTGTTTTTTAAAATTCCAAAAGAATTATAATTATAGCACGCAGGGGCTATACAGGTAAGTTAAAAACATTTCTGCCATACCTTTCACTATAAATTTCAAGTAGCAAAATTGAAAATAACGGATCAAAAAGAAAGAGTAGGCTATACTATGTGTTCCTCCTACGAATACACTGTGCTGAATGAAATAATGTACAAACTCATGGGGCACCACCCTGAATGAAAAGTTATCATATATGCAAATGAATGTCCATTGCATTAGATGAGCCGGTTCACCCGGCTCCCCAACCTCAATTAAAGTAAACTAAACCTTACAGTTATTTTTGTGGAAGAGCAT